AAGTTAAAGGGAGTAAGAAAGTTATTTTGACCTTGCTTTTATCTTAAATCTTAATGCAGAAGAAGATTGGTAATCTAGGTAAAGTGTATATGTGTAACCAAAGGTAACTCTAGATAAAAGATTGAGAAGTTGAAGCCTGCACCCCTAACTATTCTTCCTAAACACTCCACAACCCAACATTTCATGTTTCCCCTGGTAAGAGGACTTCAAGAGCTGCCCTATTTTCTCAGGAAATCTATAGATTAAGAGAGACTTAAAAGACATAACCCCCTCTCTCAAAAAACCCAAAACCCCAACTACCTTCTTCTAACTGGGGAAATTTGTATATGGACTGAAAGATAGACAATATTTATAGAATTACTGTCAAATTTCCTAGGTGTGATAATAGTATCGTGGTTATGGAGGAAAAATCCGTATTCTCAGGAGATATATAAAGATTTAGGGGTGAAGAGTTCTGACAACTGCAACTTTCAAATGGCTCATCAAATATACACATATATCATTTATATATATTTATATATATAAATAGACAAAGCAAATATAGCAAAATGTTAACAACTGTTGAATTAAGGTGGGTGGTATATGGTTATTCATTATACTACTTTAACTCTTCTATATATTTGAAATTTTTCATCATAAAAAGTTGGGAGGGAAAGCACAGAGCCTTACAAATCACTTCATCCAAAACTAGCTAAAGATGTTAGTTGCAGGGTCTTCCGTAATGACAGAACCTTCAGGCACCATGGTAATGCAGGTGAAGGCCATGCAGGCGGGTCCTGTATTCTGAGGCAGGAGCAGCCTGAAGTTGAACTTCCACTTACATTTTAGCCCAGGAAACCATTCTCAAGCAATTGCCTTTGCCAGGCTTGTGCTCTTGGTTGCAACTTCAGAGAAACCCACACTAGTTCTATATCACTACACCCTTTCAAACAAACAAAACCTCACCAGCCTGTAATACTTACTTCCCAAACCTGTTCAACACCTTTGCCGTACCACATGACACACACCAGAAGCTAGAGACTAAAAATAAATGAATTGGACTCTATTAGTAACCAGTTGGCATGAATTGTTTCTCACAGACTATGTGGTTATTTTTTTTAAGGTTTTAAGTAATTCACAGTCAAGTTATTGCCACACAGTTAAGTGAACTAAAGGTAGAGATTACAGAAACTCCCAAGCCACTTGTGACCTTCCTCCTAATAATGACTTTTATTCAAATAACTTTAATTTATGGAAATCCTGAAGTGTGAAAGGTCATAGTACAAAATCAATATAGCAAATGTTTTATGCCAACACAAAGTGTTTTTAGACAGTGTTTTTTAAACTGTTAGATATGTCAAGATATTTACTTCTTTAAAAGTACTATTTCTTAGAATTGAGAAAACATCTGTACTCGATTCCTAATTCAATATCCCCTGAAAACAGGAAAAGTGTAAAATGTGTCACTGCTCCAATTATATAGCCCCAGAAACAGGTTTTATAACTGGCATATGCAAATGGTATTTTCCCAATGAGATGATTGTTATCTATGGTTCAAAATGATAATAGCTAATAATTCCCTGGTGCTCACTACACACCAGGCACTATTCTAAGAAGTTGATATAATTTATCTCATTTAATCCTCATTAAGAATCCTATAAAGTAGGTACTATTATTATTCCCATTTACAGATGATGAAACTGAGTCTTATGAGAAATTCTTACCTAGAATTATTTTTCCAGGCACTTAGAGATTAAATTTCAAATACTGGATAAACTCATCATACATGAATTCTAATCAATTTAGACTTAAGAATGCAAAGCTTTCATACTGAATCTAAAGTCAGTTTTCCTCAATTATGCTACATTTTCTTACTGGCAAAGTACGTAGTGAAGTGTCTTATACTTGGTCCTAACTTGAAGCGTTTCTGATCGATAGTTCCCCAAACTCTTAATGAAACAAGAAGCAGAAGAAAATAGGACTATTTCACCACTCTACCCACTTGACCATTTTTAGTCCTCTAAACATTTTGAATCATGCTGAGATGACTGCTTTAAAAATCAACTCTGCTGAGGGGCACTAACTGGATGCACTGATGGTTCAACTCCCAGGGCAGAGGAATAACTGTATAGCAAGCCAGGAAAGAACACGCCTGGAAGCCACCCAAAATGCCCTAGGTTAATTTGTCCAAATCTAATCAATTCATGCATGTTTTAAGGCCCAATTTCTGCCCTCCTCAAAGCCGGCTCACAAGGACTCTTCCTGAGTTCTGAAAGTGGGTGCCACATAATTTCAGGTAATTTTATGTCGTCATGCTAATCCTAACTTGTGGGCTTATCTCCAAGACCAGGTTGTGGGCATCTTTTGTCACCTTATGCTTTGAATACACAGTACAGTATTGAATACAGACACTGCAAAAATTCAATAAGTACTTGTTTCATTAATGTTTCTGGCTCAATACATACATTTGCACTGGTTGTGGCCGAGAATCTCCCTCCAGCTTGATTAACTTTTTTTAGCAACTAGGAAAACAGTTCTGCAGGAATAATTCAGTTCCCACAAGTTACACAGTAAAATAACCCAGAGTCCTACAACAATCCAGGCTCCTTTCATTTGGTCAAATGTAATAAAACCAGAATAGGATTACTGCTCCCTTCATCTTGAGGCAAAAATAGCTTTTTCTCATCCTCACTCTGGTTTACACTCCCTCATTATGTGACTTTTTATTTTAAGCACGAATGCTTTAACTGTCACCTTAGACCTAAAGTAGTCCTTATATTTACCAGTTGGCCAGAGGTCATAGCCTCAAAATGTAATAAAATGCTTGTTGAATCCAAACTGCCTATATTTCTACTCTTGGCGTCATAAGTCTAAGTCATAAAATGACCATAAGATAAGTGGCCAAACAACTACTGCACATTATAAAGAGCTAGCTACTTTCTGTCATTCATTCAAAATCATAAAGAGGACAGCATTGGTAGGCGGTGAGCTCACCATCCTTAAAGTCTTAATCGAGAGGCTTAATGGCCGTAAGTTAGGAGATGCTGAAAGCCAATCTGTAAACCAGTCTGACAAGGGATGAGGCTAGATAACATCCTTCCAACTTGAAGATTCTAGAAAGTTGAACTTGTCAGAAAGCACAGAAGAGCATTTATCTCAGGCCACCACTGCCTGGTAATTCTGAGGTTCCCTCAGCACTCTTCAATATTATCTGCAAATGAACCACTGAGTTATTTACTGGCCATTTCATTATCAAAGACAGGCATCATGTAGAGTCAGAGCTCAGATGCTTACATAACTCATGTAAAACACAAAAGAGTCATAATGGATTACTGAGAAGAGAAAATACTGCATGCATTATCAAGGGCTACACAAATGTATCATGGTATTTTACAGGGCTTTTGAATTCCCAAAGCCCTGTAGCCCCTTTCAGGTTAATGAGGAAGAGACTGTTTATTTAAAAAAAAAATGTTCCTAGTACAAATTCACACTGAGATTTTTTGGAGCACATCCAATTACCATAGCGACTGCATTAAGTACACCAGCACAGGAGAAATCAATATATCTGAAATTAGGACAGCAAGCATCCTCAGTGTAAATAAAAAACTGGTAGTCACAGTATCTGTGCTTTCTCTCCACAAGTTCAGAATGAAAAAAGTCTCGTACTCTCAAACCCTGATTCTTTAAACGTCTCCCGTCACCAAGTCACGTCTTCCAAAGCCTTACTATACGATCTTACTTTTTGGATTTATTTTCCCAGTTGTGGCAAGCATTTGTTTGATTTCCCACAGCTGTCAGAGGCTTTAAGTCATTGCCCAGAAATGTCACAGGAACGAATTATGATTTCTATAGGATCCATCCAGAGTTCCTGAATTTGAGGTTGGTGCGACGAAAAATAAAGCAAGAGTTCTGGGACTTTCAAGAGCAAGGGAAGGAGTAAAAAGCGGGATCACTGACCTACGAGTGATCATGACTCCCGCCTTCGAGGAGAAGAACAACCTCACAAGAGTCAGAGCCCCTCTCTGGGTAGCTGTTGCTGTAAGAACAGGTCCTCCAGTTCTTATCCCCGAAGCTCCAGCGCTGGAAGCTGCCCAGGACCCCGGCAACGTCAGGGCACCCCAGCTCCAGACCTCAGCGACAGCCGTCCTCCTCGGTCCTGAGGCCAGCCAGAGGCGCCCGGCCGCGTTCCCACCCCCTACCCGAACTCACAGCCAGTCTCCTTCTTGATCTCCTCGAGCTCTTCGTCCCGCAGTAACGTGGAGGCCCGAGACCCCATTACCGAAGCAGAAGCTCCTGCGGGAGCAGGGGCGCGTGAAGCGACAGCAGCAGCGGGAGGGAGGGAAGAAGGGGAGGAAAGGCCAGGGGTCGAGAAGGGAGAGGGCAGCGTTTCTACTGCGGACTAGGATGGGAAGCCAGGGGTGGCGCGCGGTAGAGGGCGGCCCGGACGCCCAACCAATCGGGAGCGAGGCTGCGCCCGGCCCAGGAGTCGACGTCGACGCTCCTAGCTCCAGCCCCCGAATGAATCAGCCCGGCTCCCGGCCGAGTATCGCTAAAGACGGACCACGCCCCCGGAACCATGATGCCACCGGCCTTAAATGGGCAATGCCACTCTGGCCCCCAGCGACCGCAATTAAAAGGGAAACGCCATTGACCCACCGTTTTACAACACACTGACCTGCAGCAGGGGCCAACCCGTTTCTCACAGAACTCTAACTTTAGAAATCCCACCCTACGGTTGGCACGGATTGCGGAGAGAAACAATAAAAAGAGATAGACAAAACGTCGCTTGGAGAAACTAGGATGCGTTTCCTGAGAAGTGCATTCTGGGAGCCGCACCTCCTCTTTTTTCCTGGTGGCTTTCTCTCCTCCTGACAACAGGAGGCGCTCGGGAGCCAGACTCGGGGCCGCGCGCTCATTGGCTCCTTGGGAAACAGCCAGATCCTCTCTTTCAACTCAACCGGCGTGCTCTCTGTAGTGTGGGTGCCCAGCGATGCGTACTTTTCGCTACTTTGCTTTCGGTACTGTCTTTTGATAACTGCCACTGCGGGCTTCGAACTCCCCGAGAGTTCTTCCTTAACAGCAGTCCCTCTTTTTTGAGTTCAAGACTGAAGCTTAAGGAACTCACCATTTGGCGGAAGTAGGGACAAGATTTCCCAAACTTCCTTTGGGAGAGAAAAAAGTCCCTAAGGGCGGAGGAGGGTGACTTTATAGCGTATGGCCCGCCGTTTATTTGAAATTTCTTATTTTGCCTTAAAAATGAAAAATTTTGCATCTTGTTCTTATGGCATACTTTTTGTTTGTGGGGGGTGTGTGTGTGTGTTTTGAAGACGTTTAAAGCCATCCATTAAATTAGTACACCTTCTCAGGTGAACCAGTTCTTCTACTGTGACTTCAATTGCCTTTACCCCCCGCCCCCAAACGTGTCGAGTGTTACTTTGTACAGAACCAGTTTGATACACGGAAGAACCAAATTCTGACCGCTATCACTTGGTGCCTAAGCATTAGAAGATTGTCTCAGCAAGTGGCACAAATCAACTTAGGTTACTAGTTTCAAGCTTTACCTAAAGCTTTGACGGCTTAGCATGAGATGGAGGTTCTAGACTCACTGAATTGTCTTCGTGAATTGATTTGCTCTTGTCTGACCTAATGATATCTGCCTTCATAAGCAAAGTGTGACATTTTGTATATGCCTGCCTAGGCCGCAGGAGCTTCTTTTTAATCCTGAGGGTATGAAAATGGTAGAAAAACCTTCGATGTCAGCGATATGAATCTCCATTATCTACCTGCCTTGAAACCCCTCTCTAGATCCTGACCTTGTTCATTCCTAATCTTGAATCTTATCTTTTGCAGCTGTCCTCACTCAAGACTTTTTTGCTTTGTGTTAATGTTTTTCTGATTTACTTTAACATTTCTTAAATTTCCTTATTGTCCAAGCATTTCACAAAATTACATATCTTTAAAAATTACAAATTTTTACCCCTATTATGGGCAGGTTTTTCCAGTTTTCTGTTCTTTTTTCTGTAAAATTTTCCCTTTTGCCTGTTGGATTGACTTGAACAAAGAATGATTTTCTCAGGCACTCTGTTTTATGTTCTCTCTGGATACAACACTTGTTTTTGCACTAGACTGCACACATCCTCCATTAGGGGCCTGGTCTAGTTAAGGTTTCATTACCTTCTAGCTGTGTGACTTTGGGCAGGTGTCTTAAATCTTTAAGCCTCCGTTTCTATAGTTGTAAATTAGGTTATTGTTGTAGGCAACAAATATTTGTGAGAGCACTTGCTAGCCCTTAAAGTATAAGTTTTTTATCTGAGTTAAAAATGCTGTGTAAGTTCTTACCTTCTTTCTAGTTTAATTGGTCCTTAGTGATTTGGTCAGTGTTGTATAGTTAAAGTAAATTACAAAATTCACTGGTTGATTATTCCTAGTGTGGCAAAGGCAAGCCACTTTTAAATTTAAACCTCCTTAGAAGAACATTTATCCGAGGTTCTCAATGCAAAGACATCCAAATAACAGGATTGTTCTAAAAGATACATTTTAAAAAAGAATTCGTATTTTGAATTACAGTATTACACTAAAGAATATAAGGGCATTCTTTATAAGAGCAATATAAAGAACATTAACTATGAATGATAGTTATTTCTGCAAGGTGAAGTTTTTTCTTTGTACATTTATGCATTGTTATTTTTACGAGCATGCATCATTTTTACAAAAACAGTTGAATTTTACAAAACCAGCATGTGGCATGTGGCAGTTTAATCTGTCAGACTGTGCATGACTGGTTGGTGACACTACAGCTGCCCAGTCCCTGAGCTGTGGCCAGGGTGGAGTGGAATGGTCCCTTCAGTGACTTGGCAGCTGGATTGGTAATGTGTAAATTATGATCATTCTAAATCACTTATTCTTTGGTTGGTAACAATGCAAACTCTGGAAATGTGACAAATATAGGAGAGGTTAAGTCCCAGACATTTCTGGGTAAACAGTTCATTGCAACATGTGTTGGCAAGTGTTTTCAGTATCAATTTTTTCCATTTGCTCTTTTAGTTTTGCTGGTTGGTGTTAAAAAGATTTATGTACATGCAATTAAAAAGCCTCTAAATGTTCTGCCAGTTCCATTCAGCTAAGGAAGGAAAGGTGGTATTAGCCCATTTTATAGACAAAGAAGTCAAGCCCACCTTGCCCAAAGATTTATAGTTTTCAGTTTCCCATGTATAAGAGTAGGTGCTTGCAATGATCCTTTACTTATTATCATTCTAAAAAGATAAGCAAAATTGAATTACTCTCATATTTTTATTTTTCTTGTCCCAGGTGTAGGGAAAGGAAAAAAAACCCATTCCACCCAAAATATTTTTAAAATAATAGATCTCTTTTATTTTCAAGTGCTTGGATACTTAAAGATTATCTGAAGACTGCTCTTGGAGTCAGACAGCATGGATCCCAGCAGTGACTACCATTTCCTCAACCAGATTTTGTGGAGAAGAGTGAAACTCACATTGGTTTGTGGCATCTTTGAGGGAGTGCTTCAGCATGTGGACCCTAACAAGATTGTTGTCCTGAAGAAAGGTTGCATTTTATTTCTCACAATCTTCTGCCTTTTACAAGATTAATAACTGAGTTTGGGTGATGGATCTGGGCTCCCTTAGCAACTGGGAGAGCAGCAGCATTCCTATTTTAGGGGAAGGGTGGGAGGAAGATTAGAATGCAGTTTTCCCTAACAGAGCAACATGGCTGCATATGCTGGCTTGTCCCACTTTTGTACTTTTATTAACATGATAGTGGACATTTTTAATATATAGCATTTTTTTAAATTGCATACTTCTTTTAATTTCTCTCAATACACTTTAAAATTAAAAATAACCACTCTATAGATAGAATTGCTTTTGGCTTCAACAGACAAATTCACAAAGCCAGTAAGGGGTTAATTTTTCTTATGCAAAAAGAGGTCCAGATGTAGGCTGCTGAGGGATAGTGCAGTGGCTCAAAGATGCCAGGAGTGATCAGGTGTCTTGTGCTCCTGTTCTGCCATCTCAGTGATCATCTATCATCCTCGTGGTCACAAGGCAACCTCTACACCTCCCAGCTTCATTTCCAGTTCATTTATAAAGGATTCGTTTCGGAAACTGCCAAATGGAAGAGATTTATAGGCCAGGTATGTGGAAAGGGGCTCAGAGTTTCTACCTTCTCTGGAAGAAAGGTGGACTACTGTTTCAGCTCCTCCATGTGTTAAAGCTCCAATATAGTCTTTATTCAGCTAGAATATTGACCTGCTAGAGTAGTTGTTTTTCTGGCATGGTAAGTTTCAAGTTCACAATTGAAACGTGTAGATGGCATTTGAGAGATTAGTGTTATTATTAAGCTATATTATGTGTTAAAATAGACTTTTGTGGGCTAGGATGGGACTATGCCAGGTTTTTTGCAATATTAATACACTGGATAATCATTAATTGAGTTTTATATCCCAGACACTGTGCTGGGTACCAGGGATGTGGATAAGAATAACATGATCTCTGTCCTCAAAAAACTTAGTCTAGTAAGTAGACACATAAACAAATAGAAAGATATAATGCAGATATAGAGGGATGCATAAGGTACTATGGAAACACAAAATTTCAGCTTATTTAGATCTGAGAGTGGTAGAGTTAGGACAGTGGGGAAGGCTTCCCAAAGAAGGAATTGATGGTGGAACTGTATAAAGTGTTAGGTGTAACTTCATAGGATTTAACTGGATGTGGAAAGAGAGGCAGGTTGTTATATGCCAGTGGTTCTCAGACTTTATCTGTGCATCAGAATCACCTGGAAGACTTGTTAAAACACAGATTGCTGACCACACGCCCTCACAAGAGTTTCTTGATTCTTAAGGTCTAGGGTGGGGCTCAAGAATTTGCAGTCTAAGAAGTTTTCAGGTGATGCTGATGCTGTGCTTGGGAACCACGCTTTGAGAAAACCATTGTTTTAGGGAGAAGTAGCAGCATGTGCAAAAATATAGAGACATGCAAACTTGCATTCAGAAAACCTAAGTAAATTTCAGTGTGAGGATGTGGTGAGAGACAAGGCTGGAAAAGGGAAGTAGGCACAGGACAGATCAGAAGGACCTTACATATCATAACATTTGGATACCTCTGAAAGCAAAGAGGAACAATCTGAAATATTTTAAAGTAGTGGTCATAGTTTTTCAGATTAGTTGCCTGAAATTTTTAACGTTGTGTTAGTTCGGAACCATACTCATTAGATGCTAGAAACAGATTTACTTTTGGTGGCTTAAACAAATTAGGAGTTTATTATCTCATATAAAAGAAGACAGGTATCCCAGAGCTACTGTGACTGTCTCCAGAGTTGTCAGGAACCCAGGATTCTTTATCCTTCTGCAGTACCATCTTTACCACATGGTGTCAAACCTCAAGCTCATATGATAGCTGGTAGAATTATAGACAGGAGGAAGAAGAAGGATGGGGGGGTTTTGGGAGTGGGGGAGGGTATTCCTCCCAGCAGAGTCAGTCCCTTTAAAGACATGTCCTGGAAATTCAGTAGACCACATCTCTGCAGGGAGACTAAGCACATGGTTAGCCTGAATCAATGGCATTGAGTAAACAACAATCAGTAAATACCACATGCTTGTTCAACAGAGTATTCAGTTCAGATGAAATATTTTGGTGTATTTCTCTCTAGTCTTTAATTACACAGATTTAATACAGTAGACATAAGTTGGGTATCTCATACATGCTCTTTTTTCAGTTAATGTTATAGCAAACATTTTCTCATGTTATTTAAAACTTCAATTTAATGGCTAAACATTTTAAAGCAAAAAGCTTAAAAACTTTAAAAATATTTATTATATTTTATAATTATAAATCAAAGTAAATTATAATTATAAAATAATTTTATACTTGTGTATTTCATAATTATAAAGTGTGACAAATTATAATTATCAAATACAATTTAATATTTGTTATATTTTATAATTATTTTCTTAGAAACAGTTCCTAGAAGTGAAATTACTGGATAAAAGTTTTAGATATTTTACATATTTTTGATACATATTTCAAAATAGTTTTTAAAAAGGGTTGTGCCTTTTTACTTTGCTCCTAATAATGTGTGAGTGAATTACAGTAAATAATCTAGCTTTGGATTTTTTAAAAATGCAGATGTGTAGCTTTCCTCAGTTTTTACTAGCATTATAGACAAAAGTGATATTTCTTTTGGTGTGTTTTAAAAAATATTCCTAGAGGTTGAACATATTTCTTTATCCTTGTTTAATAATTTTATGTACTATTTGGACAAAGCAGGGAGTGACATCACTATGACAGCAGTGTGAGGGAAGGTTTGAAGTAGGTAGAACCTAGAGACAAGAAGAGACAGGGAACTATTAAGATAATCCAGGGACCCAATAAAGAGAAAAGGATGGAAATCAGAGCTAGAGCTTGACAAGGAACGGAGAAGAGAAGACAGATTCTAGAAATGCTTAGGGAGAGGGGTAAGTAACCTAGTAATCAATTAGGTAGTCAAAGAGTAATGGAAAATGACTCCTACACTGATGACTCAGATTAAGTATATAGTACTGTTATTGTTAGAAAGGGGAAGAGGAACTGGTTTGTTGGTTACTGGGAGAAGATAATGATTTCAGTTTGAAAATCTTGCAGTAGGTCTGCTATTAGTCAGTTGAAAATGAGAGTGGAGCTCAGAGAAATAATCCATACTGGAGAAATAATGGATATGAGGACAGCTAGGAAGTGGATGTGATCATACATACATATAAGGAAAATGGATGAAGAACATAATTCTAGGGACTAAGGATGTGAAAGGGGCAAGAGTGGTGGTAGAGGCAACTAAGGAGACAAGAAGGAGCAAACCAGGGACAGTGGAACACTGGTTACAAGATGCAAATTAAAATCACTGAGACCCCCTCCATTAAAAAAAAAAGCGAGGAGGTGGGTAGAGCTCAGTGGCAGAGCATGTGCTTAGCATGCACAGGATCCTGGGTTCAATCCCCAGTACCTCCATTAAAAAAATAAATTAAAAGTAAAAGTAAAATCACTGAGACGTAGGTTTGAATCCTGACTGTCTTTTACTAGCAATATGACCTTGAGCAAGTTATTCAAACTTTCTGAGCCTCAGATTCTTCCATAATGGAAATAATGATATGCCTATCTCATTATGTTACTGGAGAATTAAACGTAGGCAGATGACTAGCATGGTGCCTGGGACAGAGTGAGTGCTCAGTATGGTGTCTCTAAGTAATTAGCAGGAAGAGAAATAAACACTCAGAGTGTCCTGTAATCCAAAGAAGAAAGGAGAGAACAGTATTGTCAAAAGATGCAAGGGAGCCAAGTATGATAAGACTGTAAACTTTTTCTGGGATTTGACAAATAGGCAGGTGGTGATCTTTGACCTCAGTAAGAACATATCAGTGGATTAGTGTGGGTGAAACTCAATTATTTTAGATTGCTGAGAGGTACGGAAATATACAGCTGCTGTAAGCACATCCATCTAGAAAAAAATGACACCATATTGTAGCCATGACATATAAGCTTCTAACTCCCTCATCTACTCACAGAAGAGCCTGTAATTGGGCCGGGAGTTGGATTGTTGTCCCTGACGATTAATATTTTGAGCATGCAGCATGACATAAAGCAGGGTGTGGACTCTAGAGGTAGTCAGCTGCCTTAAATTTTTTTTCTGGATTTAGGTGGACTAAAAATCAGTAGAAATATAATACATAGATAGTCCTTAGCCCCAAAGGCCTTAGAATATTCTTGAAAGAAGTTTAGATACTGCTACCCTTTTAGTTTCTTTTGGACCTTCCTGGAGTTCCCTCTGTTCTTTATACTTGTTTCAAGAATCTACTTTATAATTCACTGTTGACTCTCTATTCCTTGGGGAAAATAATTTGGGGATTTTTATAAAACTCAGATTTGGGAATTTTTGAGAGGCGTTTTTTCTTATAGTTTTAGGGAATGTTACTCTTTATTAACCAAATGAATTGTTTCCTATAACAGTGAAGAATGTGGAGACCGGTCGAAGTGTCCCAGGAGTGAAGATGTTTTTTGGACATGAGATTGTGAATGGTGAGAGCTGTATGTTCCGTGAATACTGGTATTGGGATTTGCAATAGCAGTAAACTCACTGCTCTGCCTCATTCCAATATGTGGGGGAAACCCCTACAAAATGAGATGTTATCTTGCATTTATGAACTCTTAAAGTTGGTATTGGAGAACTGACCCTTATCTTACTGTTTTGCTAGGTACTATGAGCAGAACAGTCTTAGAGAATTTTAATCATCTTGATTTTACAGTGTGAGGGCTGCTGGTGCTCATTTCTAGAAACTCAGCTTGCAGGCAGAATTGGGAATCTGAACAGAAAGTAATTGTCTTGCTCAGCAAGTATGTTTATCACCACAGGTTTGGGGATTTTGGGAATTGCAGGAAGCAGCCCTGTTCTTTATCTCTGCCAGCAAAAACGATTTAGCAAGACTATGTCCAAAGGTTTCCCTAAAGGAATAGATATTGAAGCTCATCTTATCAGTGTGCTTCAGACAAGCCAAGTGGGATAAGAGAAAGGGTTGGGAGCAGATGTGTTGTTGCTTTCAAGAACTCTATAGCTAAAGGAAACCCTCCTACACTGTAGTGGGAATGTAATTTGATGCAGCCACTATGGAAAACAGTATGGAGATTCCTTAAAAAACTAAAAATAGACTTACCATATGATCCAGCAATCCCACTCATGGGCATATATCCAGAGAAAATTCTAATTTGAAAAGATACATGCACCCTAATCTGTATTGCAGCACTATTTACAATAGCCAGGACATAGAGGCAACCTAAATGTCCATCGACAGACAAAGAAGTTGTGTTATATATACAGTGGGCTACTACTCAGCCATTGAAAAGAATGAAATAGTGCCATTTGCAGCAACACGGATGGACCTAGAGATTGTCACTAAGTGAAATAAGTCGGACAGAGAAAGACAAATATCACATGATATCATTTATATGTAGAATCTAAAGAAATGGTAGAAATGAACCTATTTACAAAACTGAAACAGACTCACAGACGTAGGAAACAAACTTATGGCTACCAGTGGGGAAAGGAAGGGAAGGGATAAATTGGGAATTTGGGATTAGCAGATGGAAACTACTATATATAAAATAGATAGAACAATAAGGTCCTACTGTATAGCACAGGAACTATATTCACTATCTTGTAATAACCTATAATAAAAAAGAATATGAAGAAGAAAAAAAATATATATATATATAACTGAATCACTATGCTGTGCACCAGAAACTTAACACAACATTATAAATCAACTATACTTCAATTAAAGAAAAAAAAGAGCTCAAAAGCAAAAAGCTCTCCAAGGAGGAGCAAAGATGAGTGTGGGGTGGAGGGGGTGGGAATGGGAGAACTGAGACCTGGCAGAGCTTTTCATTTCTTACCATTGGGGCAGCTATGAGGAAAGGAAAGGACTCCTGGAAATGAGAGATTACTGTTGCTTGAAAGATAACTTTGTTTTGTGAGAGAAGCAGAATTGAGCGAGAGATGAAAATCTCACCAAAGTAATGACTGCCAATCCAGACCCACTTCAAGGCAAACAAATCCATCCTTTCTCACTGACTATGCACTGTCAATGCTCTTGGTCCTTGAACACCTTTTTTAAATGATGGTAGTAGAGGGATTCTTAATTGTGTTTCAACTGTTAGGCTTTGCAGTAGAGCAGAGCTCTGAACTGGGAAGAAAGCTAGAATATGGATGAGTTTGTAAAGAGAAATGAAGGAATCAGTGTCACTATCTCCTAATTCAGGAGAAGGCTGACTGCTGACCAGCTTTGTGTACACATGTATTCATTTCCTCCTAAATTCATTCTCAGACTTAGCCTTTGTTCATAATTTTCAGGCTTCTCCTCCTTTCTTTGCTCTGTGGCTCAATCAGCCTTGGAGGGGGGTCTCACTGAAAAGCACTTTGAATGAGAATTATCAAGATGAAGGATAATAATTGACTAATCAGTATTTTTAGTAAATTTTACTGTCTTAGCTGCAGACTCAACACTTCTAGACAGTTCAGGAGAAAGAGTCATTTGAAACATAATGGCCCTTGAGAGGCTTTTTCCCTGAAAAGTACCTAAGTGTACTTAATTGAATCTAAGATGCCATTAACTATAAAGCGCACTATTTCTTTTCCCAACCTAAGAAAGAAAAAAGAAGCTGCCAATTAAATTGTCATATGCATTTACTGTAAATCATATCCAATTTCAAAGCTGTTTAAAATATGCATCTTGGAATCAATGATAAACAATATTTCCCTGTATTCCCTGCACTATTAGGTTAAAAAGAAATGATTTCAGAATCTCTGTGGAATGTTCCTCTCATACTTCTTTTGTGACTTCCAATCTAGCTTTTATTATCTTTCATGTCACTGAATTGTCAATGCACCAGCCTGTGAGAGTGGGAGGGACAGATTTGTGAAAGATTTAAGGGAAAAGCCCCAAACAGTACATAATGTGAGGGAAGATGCACTAGGATGGAAATAAATAGGAAAGTAAAGATATCTTTAACACCAATCTGCATGGCCACAGAGGTGCTCTGGAACAAAAAGGGTAGAGGGGGACATGTAGAGGTTCCTAATCCTGCTAAATGACCAAGAAAGCTATGCAGGGCTGTAAATGGGGTCTTCAGACTCTTGGGCATATATCCAGAGAAAGCTCTAACCTGAAAAGATACATGCACCCCAATGTTCATAGCAGCATTATTTACAATAGGCAAAATACGGAAGCAACCTAAATGTCCATGGAGAGATGACTAGATAAAGAAGTTGTGGCATGTGTATACAGTGGACTGCTACTCAGCCATAAAAAGTAATGAAATAATGTAATTTGCAGCAACATGGTTGGACCTAGAGGTTATAAAACTAAGTGAAGTTAGTCAGAGAAAGACAAATATCTTATGGTATCACTTACATGTAGAATCTAAAAAAAGACATGAACTTATTTACAAAAGAGAAAGAGACTAATAGACATAGAAAACAAACTTATGATTATGAGGGAGGGGAGGAAGGAGGGATAAACTGGGAGTTTGAGATTGGCTGATACAAACTACTATGTACAGAATAGGTAAACAACAAGGTCCTACTGTACAGCACATGGAACTATATTCAGTGGCTTGTAGTAACCTGTAATGAAAAAGAATATGTATATATATATGTAACTGAATCACTATGCTACATGCCAGAAACTAATACAACATTGTAAATCAAAAAATGAAAATAAAAATTTTAAAAATGAAATTAAAAAAAGAAAATGATATTTAAAAAAGATTAGGTTAGGTTGGGATTTCAAAATGTAGAATAGATAAACAAGATTATACTGTATAGCACAGGGAAATATATACAAGATCTTGTCGCTCACAGCGAAAAAAAATGTGACAATGAATATATGTATGTTCATGTATAACTGAAAAATTGTGCTCTACACTGGTATTTGACACAACATTGTAAAATGACTATTACTCAATAAAAAAATGTTTAAAAAAAAGCAAAAAAAGATTAGGGATCTTCAGTACTTTGGATAGTATTTTCTGCTCTATTTATTGCTGGTGGATGAATGTTCCTATGGACTAACATTTCATTCCCAGTTACTGTCTGTGGTACATAGTCAAACTAGGGGTGGTGGGGTGACAGTGGGGCAGTTAATTGCTTCAGTTTGGAAACCCTGTTGGAAGCCATTTGGTTATTTTACAGTGGAACTACTGGATGAAGTGGAACAAGGTGCAGTGAGAGAAAAGGCGTCTTCTGTTAGGTATGATGGAATAATTTCCTTAAATATGATGTTACCCAAATGTACCCATTAGGGTAGAAAGCCTTAACTCTAAATCACTAGCAGTGTAATTCCTAAAATGAGAATTGTAGGCGGGTGATTCCTTCCATCTTTAGATGATATCTTCAAATCAGTGTAAACAGTGGATGAATGTGTTCTCTTTGAAAGGTCCAGGGTCCTTACTACTGATGTGTGACAAGATATATGTATGGCATTAGCAACAAAGAACAAGTTCACCTAAGTTGTTTTTTTTGTAAGCGTAGTCTAAATACGGAGAGAACCACGATGGGTAAAATGAAAGATGAAGACCTCAATGTATTTGAGCCTGCTTCTCCTGCCACTGAGGCACCAACCACCTCTCTGCTGAATGACCTCAAGTACAGCCCATCAGGTGAGTACCAGGGCTCTGAATTTTTAGGCTCTTATGGTTCAGAACTCTTCAGAGTTGGTGTAGCCCCAAATCAAAGTTCTATATGGAATTCTCAGCCAGGCCATTGTTTCTCAGGTCTGTATCATGATTCAATTGTTTATTTAATATTTGAGTGAACAGTATATGCCACACACGGGGGATACCAAAGATTGGTACCCCTACGCTCATTTAGTTATGGTGCAGGAAACAGACACTGAATTAGATGAATTAGTGTAAAATACGGTATTCTAGTGCCAGGTGTTAAGGGGAAAAAAACAGACAAGTAATGTGTGGAGAGGATGGTTTTAAAATTTTAGAGTGTCTAGGACAGGTCTCACTGAAATGGTGACATTTGAGTAAAGGCCTGAAGGGAGTGGGGTCTCAAGATATTTGTACACCCAGGTAAATGAGGATTTAGGGGGGATGTTTTTTAGCCATAAAAAAAAAACAACAAATGCAAAGGTTTGAGATAGGAACATGCCACGATCTTGAAGGAACAGCAAGGAGATCAATGTAGCTGCAGCAAGGAGAGTAGTGGGAGATGAAGTGGGGTGAGTGGGTCATGGAAGATTTCATAGATCATTGAAGGCACTTGGCTTTTCCTCTGCAGTGAAAAGAAAGCCATTGGAGGTTTGTTTCTTTCATTGCCCTAATGACTAAGGATGTTGAGGATTTTTTCATGTGCTTATTTGCCATCTGAATATCTTTGTGAATGTCTATTCATTATCTTTTGTTCATTTTCTTATTGAATTTTTTCCTTATTATTCAATGTTGAGAGTTCTTTATATATTCTGGATACAAGTCTTTTCTCAAATATATGCTTTTCAAATATTTTCTCCAAGTCTGTGATTTGTCTTTTCATTTTTTTAAAGCATCTCTTGAAACACAGACAATTTAAATTTTGATGATGTCCAGTTTATCCATTTTGTTTCTTTTGTGGGTTATGCTTCTGTTGTAGCTAAGAAATTTTTTCCTAACTCATTCATTTATGCTAGTGGATGAACTGTGTCCTGTGCCACTCCAAGTTTTTAGAGTTTGGGAGATGAAGAACTATATATTATGCTGTACCTCTAATCTTTTAAATTACATAATTAGAAAAATAATTAACTTTTAGGATCCAGAAAATTCCAAAAGTGTACCATTGACCCACCTCCAGGACAAATTTATTTTAAACTGAATTTATTTTTTATAATGAACATGCTTTTAAAAAGTGCATGTCTTGAAGTATTCAAGACACAAACCTATGATAAGAGAAACATTACTGGATTATCACAGGAAATGTAAATAATTCATTTTATAAGATTATCATCAGTGGGGCTTTTGTTTATTCTCAGTTGACAAATAGGATGCTAAGTGTTCACTGTGTGATGGGCTAACTCAGTTGATAATGAAGTAGTTCTCAGTGTGCTAGACATAGTATCAGTAGTTCTAGACATCTGAGTTGCAATAGAGCAGGCATTGAGGAGTATTGCTGAAATTAATGGGAGGGCTATTCCATTGCCAAGGAAGACACATATGTCTAATTCCATCATTCTCCTGTAGAGGAAGAGGAGGTAACATACACAGTCATTGATCAGTTCCAGCAGAAATTTGGTGCTGCGGTAAGTACTGCCCTCAGTCATTCCCTGTTTTGTCTACATATGGGTATCATGTCTGTCCCATAATTTCTCTCTTATTAGAAGATCATTAATGTTTTCCCTAATAATTTAACAAAATATTTGAGTGCCTGCTATATGCTAGGCATAGTTCTGAGATCTGGCGTAAAACAATAATCAAGACAAAATTCCAGCCCTTAAGGAGCTTATTTTAATGCAAGAATATAAACAAATAATTGTATATCAGCTGGTGATAAGTGCTATGAAGAAAAGTAAAGTGTGGCATGGTGAACACAGTGACAGGGAGTTCCTAGTTTATTTAGGGTAGACAGAGAAAACCTCTATGGAGAGGTGACATTGAATCAAAGATCTGAAAGAGGTAAGGGAGCTAACCATTTAGGTATCTAGGTAAAGAACTTAAAGAAGGCATAACTAGCAAGTGCAAAGGCCCTGAGGCTGAAGCACACTTGACTTGTATAGAGAAACAGCAGGAGGGTCATTGTGGCAGGGCCACAGTGAAGAGAAGTGGTAAGAAATAGAAAGGGGCAGGAGACAGATCAGGTATAGGGTTTTTAGACATAAGGATTTTGAGTTTGACTTAAGTAAGATGGAAAGCCATTGGCAGTTTTAGGGGACAGTCAATTTTTTAACTTACATTTTTAAAAGACCACTCTAAATATTTAGTCAGTTTCTCAATAATCATTTATTTGAGATGTGACATTAACTAGTCAGCCTAGGATATGGTTCACAGATAGAGTCTGTGAACTCTGTCTGTGGGAGGGAGTCATTAAGCTTTCTGTTTAGATGCGCTTATGTTCATGGATGCATAGGTGTATTTTTAAGGGAGAGTTAACTTTCAACAGATTAAAAAAAACAGCTTTATTGAAATATAATTCATATGCCATAAAGTTTATCAATTTAAAATGTACATTTCATTGGCTTTTAGCATATTCACAGAATTGTACATCATTCACCATAGTGAATTTTAGAGCATTTTTAATACCCCAAAAGGAAATCCCATACTCCTTAGCTATCACCTCCAATCCCTCCCCAGTCTCCCAGCCCCTGACAACCACTAATCTATTTTCTGCCTCTATGAATTTGCCTGTTTAGGACATTCATATAAGTGGGATCATACAATGTATGGTCGTTTGTGATTGGCTTCTTTTGCCTAGCGTAATATCTTCAAGGTTCATCTGTATTATGGCATGTATCAGTATTTCACTTATTTTTATTGCCAAATAATATTCCTTTGTATGAATATACCACATTTCATTTATCCTTTCATTATTTGATGAGCATTTGGGTTGTTTCTAGTTTTTGGCTGTTATGAATAATGCTGCCATGAACATTCATTTACAAGTGTTTGTATGGACATGTTTCCATTTCTTTTGGATAGATACTTAGGAGTGGATTGCTGGGTCATATAGTAATTCTGTGTTTAACTTTTTGAAGATTGGCCATACTGTTTTCCAAAGCTGGTACACCATTTTACTCTTCTACCAGCAAGCTATGAGGATTCCAATTTTTCCACATTCTTACTGACACTTCTTGTTATCTCTCATTTTAATTATAGCCATCCCGTTGTGTGAAGTAGTATCTCATTGTGGTTTTGATTTGCATTTCCCTGAAGGCTAATGATGTTGAGTATCTTGTCACGTGCTTATTAGCTATTTGTATGTCTTCTTTAGAGAAATATCTATTCCTTTGCCATTTTAAATTAAGTTATAAGAATTTTTTATATATCAACAATTTCTTTAAAAGGTCCATGACAACAGCAACAAAAAAGTGGGATTAGAACTTGTGCTCTGGAAACTTAAAGTAGTAATTGGAAATTCTTGTCAATAGAGAAATACAGCTTTTGTTTCTAGTTTTGCAGACTTCTTGTTGATTGAGGATGGAACAGAAATTCCGTTTCATTTTTTCATCATTGATGAAAGATACTCAGAATGTAGAACACTTTATGCCCTGTAAAGGAAGATAGTGTAAGTTACTGTGCCCTTCTATTCTTGAGTAATTTATCTACCTGTAGAATGGGGAGAATCTTGTGCCATGTAGATATTTTCATGGATTATGGATTAAGGATTTTGAATTATCTAATGTTTTGAAATAGGATAAGATTATAGATCATCAAACCAGTATGTGTTTCCAGGATACCATTGTATCAGTTTTGAGCAATGAAATGAATCCAAGATTTTAAGGGACCTGTTGAGTCTGTTTCTCTCATTCTGAACAGTAGATACTGTGAGACTCAGCCCCTATGTGAGTTCCCTTTAGGTATGGTAAATTGCCCTGTGTTAGATTGCTGTGCTTTACATGAGGAATCTTGTCATAAAGACTAGAAATCTTTCACTGTAACATCAGTGGTAACAGGAGATATTTGACTTTTCATTCTTATTAGCGTTTGCAATATGAATGATTAATTTTCCAGTTGTGGAATAATTTTGTGAACACTAAAAAGAGGATCAGAAGCATTCGTTATGATGTCTGTGTGTTTGTGTGTGTGTGAAGCAGACGTGTTTTGGAGTAGACAAATTTTATAAGTTTGAAAAATATGATCCACTTTGTTTATTTTTAGCAATTTTACTTATGCCATTCATGACATCATAATTGCAACATTTATTCCCTGGAGATTTTTGTTTTCTTCTTTTTCTTATCAGATGCTCCACATCAAGAAGCAAAGTGTCCTAAGTGTGGCAGCGGAAGGAGCTAACGTGTGTCGTCATGGGAAATTATGTTGGCTTCAGGTAGATTTCTTTAAACTTTTTAATTTTGAAATAATTGTAGATTCACTGGTAAATTTATTTTAGTTATCTTTTTTATGTTACACCACTGTTACTGACCTATAACTTGATTGGAATGTCTTTCAATCTTCTAGTACTCAGTTTATTCTTTTCGAAAGATCTTCTGTCTCTGTAGAGATTTACTTTTATAATCATCACTGCTATCTCACAGGCTCTGCTTGAGCTCTTCTTTCCCAGCTCTGTTCTCTCACTTTAGATACACAGAGGATTTCCTACCTTTCCTTCTGGGCACATTTTCTCCAGCCAGGTCCTTGGACTTGTGTGTTTGATTTTTTTAATCGCAGTATCACATACCCTATGTATTAAAAGCGAAGCAATAATAATAATGGTAGAAGGCTTATGAGGAAAGAAAAATCCCCACTCCATTGATCTCTTCAGAGGTGCTGCATTTTTTTTAAGAATCCAGTAACAAAGTTGTTAGCACTTTTTTGTATAGCACTTTTGTATGGCACTTCTATGTTTTTCATTTCATGCTTCTTCTGGGAGCCCTATGATATGACTATTAGTCCATTTGATGTCCCATAAGACCCTTAAGCTATCTTCATTTTTTTCATTAGTTTTTCTTTTTGCTGCTCTGAATGGGTGAGTTCCACTGCTTTGCCTTCAAGCTGACTGATACTTTCTTCTGCTTTATCTGGTTTGATGTTGAACCCCTTTAGTGTATTTTTCAGTTCAGTTATTGTATTCTTCAGGTCTGCGACTTCTATTTGGTACTTATATTTTCCATCTCTTTGTTGAAGTGCTCACTGTGTTCATCCATTCTTCTCCCCAGTTTGGTGAGCATCTTTATGACCATTACTTTTAATTCTTTATCCGGTAAATTACTTATCTTCATTTCATTAAGTTTTTTTTCCTGAGGTTTTATCTTGTTCTGTCATTTGGAATATATTCCTTTGTTTCTTCATTTTGCTTGATTCTCTGTATTGGTTTCTATACAGTAAATGGAACACCTGCCCCTCCCAGTCTTGAAGGAGTGGCCTCATGTAGGAGATGAACCTTGATATTCAACCCTGACTTGGTTGTCTCTCAAATCTCTGTGCTTGTCCAAGCAGCCCATTATATTTTTAATAGCTCCCAGGAATTGAGGACATGCCAAGACTTGTCAGTGTCCCGAAGGGGAGGATCTCAACACCTAGATTCAGGGTGACTGGAAGCCAGACCCTCAGGCATCAGCTTTTTAAAGTATGCAAATATATACACAGTCTTGTGGGACCACAAGCATAAACCTTGCTGGCCACCAGAGCCAAGTAATATGGAAATGTCCCCTGAGTGGCAGTTGCAGAATCAGGGCTCCAGACAAGTGTATAAGCTCTTTTCTAGGTAATGCAGTGAGCTGGAGCAAGGGAGTGTGCCATGATGGAGTCCACAGCCTAGGTTCCTTATGTCCCCTGAGAGCAGCTCCATAGCCACTAACATGTGCCAGCCCTGAAACCTGCCCCTCAGGCTGAAGCTCCAGGACCCTAACACAATCATGAATATATAGAACTTAGAAATGACATTTTGTGTCATTAAGAATGAAATACTGTTCATTCTGCTTAAACCTCTAATCCCTAGGTATCAGAATGTCATGAGTGAGACATAAAACATTTAAAAAAAAAAAGTAAAAAGGCTAATCACCAGCTTGTCCTTTCCTTTTGAAAATCACAGTGATAGTTTTTAATATTTTGCTGTTTTTAAAACTTAAGATAAATTTAAACCTGTTTTCCCTAAGAATCATTTAAACACTTATTGTTTACTTTAAAGATGAGGATGTTAAATATTTTTTCACATGTCTTTCTTAATCCTCAGGTCTCCTTCCCTAGTTTTTTCTTAAAATATGTATGTCTGGATGGTCTATTGTAGGTGGCCACAAATAGCCGAGTTTACTTATTTGACATTTTCCTTCTGGGAAGTCGTGCTTTCAACAACGGACTTCAGATGGTATTAGAAGACAAGAGAATTTTGAAGGTGAGTCTGTAAGCTTATACTTCTGCCAGTAAGAACAGCAGCCAGGTTCTAATAATACTTTTTCTGTCTTCTGATTCCTTAGGTTATCCATGATTGTCGTTGGCTTTCTGATTGCCTATCTCATCAGTATGGAATTTTGCTGAATAATGTCTTTGACACACAGGTACGTGCAGGGAAACACTGAATTTAATCCAGGGTACATAAATCCTGTAGAAAATAGGCCTTGTCTGATGAAAGATTGAAAGTCTTTTTGTGTATGCCTCATTCCTGCCCACTTCTCATGTAAGATGTTTGTACAATATGTGAGAACATTTGGTGAACTGCAGAAGCACTGCAGAAAAGTTACTTTGGGTTTTCCCTCCATTTTGCTCCAGAATTTGTCAAATAAGAAGCAAGCTCCAAACTCTGTAACATTCAGAAACTCGAACAATTTGAAGTTCATTCAGAAATCTAACATGAGACTCTTAGTGTAAGCTGAACAGTCACGTCTGTGCCTTCACTAGTTAAGGCTAGTGGCTAATTAGCATCTAGCGCCAGGATGCACGTTGTCCCAGATATGCCCCCAAATAGCCCGAAGATATGTGATTTTTCTCTCATCTAAAGGATTCCAGAGGAATGAGAAATTCCTAGACTATTCTAGATCTTAGAGCTGATCTGGATTTCTGGTTTGGCTGTGAGTTTCCATTACGTTTTCTTTAGGTTCTTCTAGTCTTCTGTGGTTATGCCAAGAAAGGGAGCTCTTGAATATATAAGCCTAGAGCCTTTGGAGAGGAGTTCAAATAATGAGTTAGCCAATTCTTTTTGAACAAAAATTCCTGAAAGTTCAGTTTTGTATTATTGTATGTGGTTTAAGTTTGCTCTGTATATCTGCTTAAAATGAACTTGGTGCCACTTCTCTTGCTTACATGTTCCTTTGGGTCTTCTTTCAATATCATTAACTACATAGAGATTGCTTTTGTGCTGCTCCAAGATGTGAGAGGATTGCTCATTGTTCCCTTGAGGCCATCAGGCTTCTTGTTGTGACCCCATATGTATTGTCTAACGAACATATTGGCATGTCTTTCTGTATTTTTCTTCTCAGATTTTCATAGTGCAAGAAGCAGGAGTTCAGAATTTTTTCAGTTTCTTTCTCTTTAACACAATGTATTAGTTTCCTATTTGCTGTTGTAACAAATCATCACAAATTTAGTGCCTTATAACATAAATTTACTTTCTTACAGTTCTAGAAGTCAGACATCCGAAATCATTTTCACTGGGCAAAAAGTCAAGGTGTCAGCAGGGCTGGTTTCTTCTGGAGGCTCTGAGGGGACAGTCTTGTTTCCTTGCCTTTTCAGCTTTCACCTGTGTTCTCTGGCTTCTGGCTCCTTCCATCTTCAAAGTGCACCACTCCAGTCTCTGCTTCCATCATCACCTTCTCCTCTGACTGTAGTAAAATCTCCCTCTGCCTCCCTTTTATAAGAATGCTGTGATTACATTTAGGGCTCACCCAGATAATCTCCCTATCTCAAGATCCTTAACTAATTACAGCTGCAAAGTCTATTTTGCCATATGAGATAACATTCACAGGTCCAGGGATTAGGAGGTGGATATTTTTGGAGACCATTATTTAGCCTACCACACACAGATAAATAATGGTTCCAGTTCTTAATTTTGTTAGCTTTCCTTATCAAAACTTTACCAGAGTTGCTAATAAGTAATAAAAGTAATTCTCGAATTTTATCTTCCTTTTCCCATTCCCCAAAGGCACCAAAGAGTAGTAAATAACCATGAAGCAGGCAAATAAAAGAAGTGGAAAAGAAAATAGACAGGGACACATAAAAATTGGGTGATCTTTTTTCTTTTTTCTAATTTATCAGAATAAGTTGACTCAACAACTTTAAATTTTCTGATGGCGTTGTCTATCGTGTGGGTCCTTGGTGAAAATGGTACTTAAAGACATTTCTGTAAATACATTTCTGTTATTTCTGTCATGAGATAGCTCTCTGTACATAATGGTCTGTTTGTCTTTTTTTAATGGCACAGGTAGCAGATGTCCTTCAGTTTTCCGTGGAAACAGGCGGCTTTCTTCCAAACTGCATCAGTACTTTACAGGAGAGTTTAATCAGACACCTTAAAATAGCCCCTAAATATCTCTCCTTTTTGGAAGAGAGACAAAAAAGGATTCAGGTGAGTATTAAAGGATGTCCCATATGACATTAATATTTTTCAAGTGTTTTTAAGCGGGCTTGTTAGCATACTATATAGAGAAATGACAGCTGCCATGTAAGCATATGAGCACTGCCAAAATCTTAGTTGTTCCCAATGGGAACAGTTTCTTTGTGGTCTCAAGTAGATAAAAGCCAGCATCCAGATTTGTTGGTTATCAATTAAAAAGTATTCTGAAATAAATTTTTAAGTTGGGCAAGTGGGGATTTTATTGGGAATTTGGATGAAGGCAGTGGAACCAAATTAAGGTAGAGTTTCTTCAGCTTCTAATAGCTTTGCATGCAAACTTAGTTCATGACCATACTGGCTGCAATTTTGGCCAAATAATCAATCCTGCTGCCTCCAGTTTTGAAAGAGAAGTCCTGAGATCTCTCTCTCTCTCCCCTCCTCCCTCTCTCTTTCTCTCCTCTCCTCCCTCCTCCTCTTCCTTCCCCCTACACCTCCCCTACATATACACACTCACTGTATACACACATGAAGTGTGTGTGTGTGTGTGTGTGTGTATGTGTGTGTATATTCTCAGAAGGCTAGCCATAGTGTGAAAGTAGAAGATAATAATTGAAGAAAATTATAGTAATGGTGTTTTAATTTAAGCAGCGGTTAGATAAACCATTATTTTCTTTAAAGTTTTGGTTACTATTCAGAGAAAATTGTTTTGGTGTCTCTAGGAAAACCCAGAACTGTGGTTCACACGACCTCTTTCACCCTCTTTGCTGAAAATTTTGGCCCTGGAAGCTACGTACCTACTCCCCCTTCGCTTGGTACTCCTGGATGAAATGATGTCTGACCTAACCACCCTGGTGGACGGATATCTAAACACTTACCGAGAAGGGTCTGCAGACAGGCTGGGAGGCATGGAGGTAGGTGCCACTCTTTGTGGCTTCCAGGACTTCTGCTTCTGCCTCGTTCCTCATGATGCTCACCCTTAACAGCTGCAGCTGATTTCTTTTGGTGACTTGCTGATGAATATTCTTGAAGGGGCTATTGCTGGGGCTTAATTCATCCCCTTGAGCACTTTTTCACAATATTAAATTATGTTTCCAGTAAATATTTCTTTTCAAGAAAGGGTAAATTTAATATTTCATTAGTTATTTTAATGAAGCCAGCACAAAATAAGAAAACTTATATTGTTGGCAAACCTTTGCCCTAAGGCCAAGTCTGGCCTATGACCTATTTTTGTACAACTCACAAGCTAAGAATGACTTTTTACAGTTTTAAAGGATTGTTAAAAAAAAAAAAGTTTGCAAAAGAGACCGTTTGTGGCTCACAAAGCCTAAAATATTTCCTATTTGGCCCCTTATGTAAAAGTTTGCAGGCTGCTGCTATAAACCATTCTCACTTAGGAATACTGAAACAAAATCCTAAATAAAATAATAGCATGTTTGGTAAAAACCCCACTTAGATGTATTATACTTTTCTATTAATGTGTCTCTGGATTCTAGTTGCAAGTATGGTTCAATATTAGGAAAATCTTTATTTTACTAGAGCCAGGAAAGTCTTAATCATTGTCTCATAAATGCTGAAAAAATTATTTTGTAACTTTTTTGTATTTTGGTCTCACTGTTTAACAAGAAAATGACATAAAAGTCCTTGCATACCTTGTTCAGTTGGAGAATTTTAATTTTTCTCATTTATCATTATAAAGCCAAGGATAATTTTATAACTTTTGTTGTATTTTGCTATGTTTATTGCAGAAAAAAGTTTGATAATATTCTCTATATATTATTGATTAAAGCTGGAATAGCTACTTTAACATGATAAAACATTTATCTCAATCAAGAAAACTATAGAATGTTTCATTGGAAACATTAATATCGACAAAAATACAAAAATGGTGACTATCACCACTGCTTTAGCAGTTTTTGAAGCTATTAACCAATGAGATTAGAAACAAAAAATGAACTATTAAAATTGAACAGGAGAAATAGGAAGTATGACTTGCCTATGATATACCTGAATACTGATGAGAATGAACTGAAAAAGAAAAGGCAATTTAGTAAATGGATACACATATAACATAAAAATTAATAATTTTCCTATATCCATATACACAGCTAGAAAATATAATGGGAGAAAAAAATCCATTTATAATTGTAATAAAAATTATTATCTAGAAATATATCTAACCAGAAATGTGGAATATAGAGATGAAGAAAATGTTAAAATATTACTGGACGGTATAAAAGAAGACTTAAATGAATGGGGACACTAATTATTTTTGGCTATCAATTATTCCTAAATTAACATTTAAATTTAATTTTATTCCAAGAAAAATATTAAAACCAGAATTATTTTGGCAAACTGTGATTATAGTGTTTATAGAGATAAATTAGCATAAATACGAATAGTCCTGTCAGATATTAAAACATATTATAAGCCTACACTAAATGCGACTGGTACATGTGTAGGCAGATTGATGAAACAGAGTGGAGAACCCAGAAAAAGATCATATATATATGCCACTAATAGTTAGGATAAAGAAAGAATTTCCAATCAATGAGAAAAAGATAATTATTTATCAAATGGCCTTAGGCAATTGACTAACCATTGTGGGAGGGGAGAATCAGAGTTGGATTCCTATCTCTTTCTTTATACCAAAATAGATCCCATGCATTGAGTATTTATATAAAAAAATGGAATTACAAAATTATTGGGAAAAATAGTATTAAAATAAAATTATCTTACAGCAGGGAATGCATCTCTCCAACTTTATTAAGGAATAGTTGACAAAATTAATTATGTATATTTAAAGTGTACATTGTGATTTTTTTTTCCTTTTTCAGTTTTATTAGGTAGAATTATTACAGTTTGACTGCACGTATACATTATATTGCATATAAATACATATATACAGTGTACTGCACATTTTTTTTAGTTTACATATATGTACTGGTCATTGTTTCTAAGAACAGTTTAGAGCTTTAGCTTTATAAACTTACAGTTATCATGATGATTTTATATACATTAACATTGTGGAATGATTACGAAGATCGAGATTAATTAACACATCCATCACCTCATAGTTAAGTTTTTTGTGTGTGTGGTCAGAATGCTTGAGATATACTCTTAGTAACTTTCAAGTGTATACTACTGAACTATTAACTATCATAACCATGCTGTACATTAGATTCCCTAGAATATATTCTTATAACTGAAATTTTATACCTTTTGACCTACATCTCCCTATTTTCTCTTCCACAACCCCCTGACAACAACCATTCTATTCTTTGTTTCTATGAAGTAATTTTTTTAGGATCATATCACTTATACCATATCTCTTATCCGTATCACTTAGACCATACAGTATTTGTCTTTCTGTGTCTGGCTTATTTTACTTAGCCTAATACCCTCCAGGTTCAGCCATGTTGTCGTAAATGGCAGGATTTCCTTCTTTTTATGGCTGAATAATATTCTATTGCATGTATATATACACCACATCTTTATCCATTTACCTGTTAATAGACACAGGTTGTTCACATATTTTGGCTACTGTGAATATTGCTGTGGTGAACAAGGTAATGTAGGTATCTCTTTGTGATCCTGTTTTCATTTCCTTTGGATATGTTCCCAGATGTGGGATTGCTGAAACATATGGTAGTTCTATTTTTAAGTTTTTGAGGAACCTCCATACTATCTTCCATAGTAGCTGCACCAATTTACATTCCACTCAACAATGTAAGAATTCTCTTTTCTCCACGTTTGCCAACACTTATCTGTCTTTTTCATAATAGCCATCTTAACAAGTGTGAGTTGATACCTCATTGTAGTTTTGGTTTGCATTTCCCTGATCACTAGTGATGACCAGCACCTTTTCATGTACCTATTGGCAATTCTTTGGAAAATTCTTTGCTCATTTTCAAATTAGATTATTTGCTTTTTTGCTGTTGAGTTGCATGAGGGAATGCTTTTCTATGCAATACAGAAATACTCAGAACTCATAAAAGATTAATAAACTTGACTTAAGATTTTGTGTGGTGAAAATTCTATAAAGTCAAAGGGCAAGCAAAGGGAAGAATTATTTGCCTCATGTAACAAAGAAGATATTTTCATAATATATTCTTATTTTGTTTGTTTGCTTTATGAGGGGGAGGAAATTAGGTTTATTGATTTATTTCTATTTGGAGGAGGTAATGGGGATTGAACCCAGGACCTCAAGCATGCTAAGCATGTGCTGTACCACTTGAGCTATACCCTCCCCCCAATATATTATTTATTGTAGCATTTATATAATGACAAAATACTGGAAACAATCCAAATATCAATCCAAAAAGGTTTGGTTAAATAAATTATGGTACATTCATACAGCCCTTAAAAATTCCAATATGGAAAAATCTCCAAGACTATTTTTTAGTGAGAAAAAAATCAAAATGAGGAATATACAGAATAGTATGTTACCATTTGTATAGAATAGTTTTATAAAGAGTTATAAAAATAAAAAGGGGAAAATAAAAACTGAAAAATGTAATGATAAATATTTAGTAAGGAATCATATATGCATGGACTATCTCTGAGAGTCTACACAAGAAGCTGATTTTTAGATGATGCACCTGCTAAGGCAACTGGGATGAGGTTGGAGTGGACACTCACTTTCATCATATAATCTTTATACACACACACGCACGCATGCACACACACACGCACAACACACACAAAACTGGATTCAAAACAGTTAACATTACTTGAAAAATAGTACTATTTTAGTTGAAGCCACTAGAGGGTGGTATAAGAACACATTTGAATAGACCCTTGCTTGCCGAACACTTAAGTATAGTAGCAATGATTTTATGGACCTTTTCAGAAGGTCAGTTATCATAGACTTGTGTTCATTTTCTTTTCTTAGCCTACATGTATGGAACTTCCCGAGGAACTGCTTCAACTCAAGGACTTCCAGAAGCAGCGCAGGGAGAGAGCTGCAAAAGAATATAGGGTGAATGCGCAGGGACTTCTAATAAGGACAGTACTACATCCAAAGAAATCAGTGACAGAGACAGGAGGGAAAGAGGGGAAAGTAAGAGGTTTCTTACTTTGTAAAAATTCTAGGCTCGATAAAGCTGCAAGTTTTACAGCTCATAAGGATGTAAATTTGCTGGAAGAAGAATCTGAGAGTAAACAAACCACAACAGAACCTCAACATCTACCTCACATAAAGGAAGAAGCCAGTGAGAATTCCAGTAACAAACTCACTTGCCCTGAGTCAGAGGGGTTGGAGGACCAGAGAATAACTCAAAAAGAACACCGTAAGATTCCTAAACAAGCGTTTCAGACAAGTTTATCTTTGAGAGAGGAAATAGAACAGTTACTGATTGTGGAAAACACGGAAGATCGAAAATGTACACAAAATGTTTCAGTGTCTCCTTCCCTTCCTCAGGAAATCAGAGTGTCTCCAGGTGACAGCTTTCATCCTTTTAGAAAAGCTGTGCTTCCCACACTTCCTCCCTGTCCAGCTTTGGAGAAGACTGATTCCTGGATAAATCCTTCTCCCATTCTGCCTTAGAGATCTGCAGTTTGTTCTTGAGGCCATAAAGGTGGCTTATTTGCTCTACCATTAGGGCCTTCTTCAGTGCCTAAGTTCCTCATGTTATAAATTTGGTTTTGCTTCAGTCACAGGCCTTGGGGAAAATTATATCCTCTTGCTTACTTCTGTATTCCTGGAATTTGATTAGAATGGGAATGAATAAGTTAAATAATGGAAGAAATACGTTCTCTGATTATGTCACTGTGTGGAAATGTTCCCTGTGGCCAGAGTGAATTATTTTTCATAATTTGGGTTTCGAGGATTTGAAGAAAGGAAAAATCTTAGACTTAGTGCCTGGAAGAATATATACTTTAAAATTTTTTGTGTTTTTTGGTTTGAAGAGGGCTGGTAAAACTCCTAGCCATAAGTTTAAAGAAATTGGTACCTGAAACTTTACCAGTACTTTTGTCCTTTTTAAAATATTAACTTTTAATTTGTCAATCATACCTCCATAAAGCTGAAAAATATTAACTTTTCGAATTTGGAATGTTTTGTCTGTCTTAGGTCATAGACAAATAATAATCGATGTTATTACAGGAATCAATATCCCAGTTTTAATTTCTTTTCATTCCGTTTACTTTTAGAGAGTTTTGTCCATTTTCCTTATAAAGCAGGTCTTCTTTAAAGTATGCCTGTTACATACACTTGTGGTTTGATTCCACTCTGTTTGCCTGGAGTTGGTATGCTTTCTTAGGGTGAAAGGAAGGCAATTTGTATTGAGATGAGCCCTTTTTATATTGAATACTAGCAGGTTGCTCACATTGTGCGATAACCAATAAATCCGTTTTGGCATTAGGTTATTTCTCACTTGTCTTCATTGGGTCAGGGTAGGAATAAATTGGAATATGTCTGGGTTTCTAGGTCTAGAGTCCAGTACAGATATCTGTAATTTGACTGTTATACAGGCCTCTATTCCTTATTGCTCTGAGGGGAACCTACGGGGCAGTCTACAGTTAGGAACATCCTTGTCTGCATTCGTTTAGTCTGTCATGAGTACCACTGAAAGAAGAGCTGTGCCTTCCAAACTCCAGAGTCCAGGTCTGGTCTAAGCTTAAGATGAAGGCAGGCCTAAGAGCAGTCAACTCAGCCCTGCAATTTCTGTGTCCCACTTTGTCCATAGTTTAAAAGGTCATTTGGGGCCGGGGTGGTGTCTGGTTCATCTTGGGTGAATGTATATGCAGGTTGAGCCCAGGATGTGGTTAACCTAGGTTTACTCTGAAAAGGACATGAATTTCTGTAAAATTCCTAGAATTGATTTAGCTTCTTATAGAACCATTAAGTTGCCACACACAACGTGTATATATATACATACATACATGTATATATACAGGCTACAAAGAAAAATGTAATATTCTTCATATTTTAAAAAAGAATTCTTCTTTCATAATATATGTTTTGTGACTAAAAAAGAACAGCAGGAGTGTGTTGAACGTTTGCTGTGTTGCTCAATATGGTAGCCACTAGCCATTAAGTAGCTATTTAAATTTAAAATCAATTAAAATGAAATACATTTAAAAAATTCAGTTCCCCAGTTGCACTTCCCATATGTCCCGTACTCAGTAGTCCCAATGTGCCCAGTGGCTACCATATCCATGCTGAACACTGCAGATACAGAATCTTTCCATCATTTCAGAAAGTTCTGTTGGATAGTGCTATTTGAGAAGTACTTTGACTCCCAGAACTAAATGAGCCTTTTGGGTTTCATCATAGTATTTTCTCAGTGAAATGCTCGTATAACTGGAACTGCATTTTTCCCTACATCCTCATTCTAGCCTGGAGTGCCTACCTAAATTCCAAGTGGTTGGATCCTACTATGAAGTTCTGTCCTTTGCTGGATAGAGTAAAACATCCCTGGGTTATTCAAGCCCTGTTGCTAGTGCTCTTTGCCGTTACTCAGGTTTCTTATCTAAATTTTGCTCAGAATTTCAGGAAATATTTGATCCTTGTCCCAACCGATTGTTGAGTTCTTTACTTACTCTATATTTTTCTAGTTCAGAGTTCATAAACCATACTGCCTGCTTTCCCAAACTTCAGTCTACACTAATTTCTCATACCTGTCCTACTCAGGTTTGATCTTTCTGATCTGACCTTTCTGTACATGGTCTGCAGTTAGACATTCTAACAAGCAATCTGATCCTTTTAGTTTGGGAATTGAAAAGGAGTTAAATGACTTACCTGAAGAAAAATGCTAAATTGAGAATAGAACAAATGTTTCTTGCTTTTTGGTCCATTCAACTACAGTATGAAAAATCACTGCAGCAGCTTTGCCTCCAGTCTGGCTGTGGGCTTGATAAATCCCAACATGACACAATAGAATTTTAATGTGCTATAGGCCTTTTACTGTTTTGAAACAAGGCAAGTCCCAGCAGCAAGCTGAGATGAGGCCTGGTGCAAGCTTGCAGACCTGAGGGTGACTAGCCGGGTATACTTAACAAAAAGGCATATATTATAAAAGTAACATCAAATACGTTACAGAAAATTTGGAAAATAAAGAGAAAAAATACTCACCTATCAGCCTACATTATTATACAACCCTACCTAGCATTTTGCCATTTTTATTTCAATTTTTTTCCCTCATTCTCTTTTCTGTCTCTCTTTCCATGCACACACACACACACACACACACACACACACACACACACACACAAAACAGAGTCATGATAAATACACTTATTGTGTTTTGGGGTTTTTTGGAGGGGGTTGGTAATTAGGTTTGTTTGTTTATATAATGGAGGTACTGGTGATTGAATCCAGGACCTTGTGCATGCTAAGCACACACTCTACCACTGAACTATACCTTTCCCTCTTGTGTTTTTTATATCATGTATTTTTCCATTTTATAATCAGCCAACATTTTAAACAAATGTAAACAGATGTTTCATTTTTAAATTAATATGGTATGAAATAGCATTTGCAAAATAAAGAAAATTAGGAAAAATTCATTCATTTCTTTAACTCAGCAGAAAAAGCAGGTAACATATTTGTTAATTTCAGTGTTTATGTATAGATATTTTCCCCCTACATAGTTATAATCGTATATATATATGAATATCCTGTTCTGTGAATGTTTTCCTGTGTTGTTACCTTTGTCAAGATTTTCAATGGCTGCATAATATTTCTAAGAGGATGCAGTATGGTTTAATTTAGCTGTATTTGGTATATTCAGGTTGTTTCTCATTCCTTATTTCCTATTTTTCCCATATTTTGAATCACTTTGTCTGAATGAAATTTCAGAAACAGAATTAGCAGGTCAAAGTGGGTTTTGGTTTTTTTTTTGGTTTGGTTTTTACAAATTTTTATAGCTCTTGCTAAGTTACTTTCCAAAGGTGAATGAAATTCCAGAAATAGCAGGTCAAAGCAGTATTCTTGTTTTTGTGTTTATAAATTTTTACAGCTCTTGCTAAGTTACTTTTCAAAAGTGTTAACCAATTACATTGCCACCTCCAATTTTTATTGTAATGATGTACCATTGAGAGCATTAGATTTTTTCTTGAGAGACATGGCATAATTTAGACTTTCAAAATTCTAACTTCTCTATCCACAAATCTGGAAGGTTTCCTGTTATTTTTGTAACTTACCTCCATGGATACCATGAAGAGTAATGGAAACATAAATATTGGGAACATTTGAATCCTGATAAATATCCTTGATCTCTAGGTAAGGACCATATTATTGCTAAGCTATTTAAATCATAGAGACTCTAAAATAAAACCAAATTCTATATACTCACAATTAAATACATCTTTGAAATGTCTTAGAGCTCTCATCAAAGATACCATAGAAAATGTTTATTGTTACATGAAACAACAATCTTGGCTAAATTGCTAGGTTTACCCTAAGACAAAGTTTAATATATTCTTCCACATACTCATAGGAGCTTATAACTCTACAATGTAACAGACTTCCTCAAACAGGAAAACCTGTCAAACTGTAATCAGGGCATAATCACATATCCAATCTTAATATAAATCATTTGCAAAAACAAAAGTCTTCGATTTAGTCATGAATAGCATTTATTAAACAATGGAGTAGAATAGAGAATATCAGAATGTGTTATACATAGTAAGGGAATGTATCATTTTGTGAAACTTTTCTTAATTGTATGCCAGAGTATATGTGCTTTTACTATTGGCTGCAATAAAAAAATCAGCTAAAAATAAACATAGAAGGGAATTTATCTTTAAATACTTACACAATAAAACAAGAAGGATCTAAAACCAGTGATCTCAGCTTCCATCTTAAGCTAGAAAAATAATAAATTAAACTCGGGCTAAGGAGGATGAAACAATAAGAATAGAAATCAATAAAATTAAAACTGGTCAGAGAAAATCAATAAACATGAAACATATTGGCACAACACGGTAAACTGACTATACTTCAATAAAAAATATATATACAAAAAAAGCAAAACCTAGCTTTTTGAAAAGATCAGTGAAATTGCAAAACCTTTAATAACTATACTGACGAAGATTTTTATTTCAAAGTCATGATTACGAATCTCAAAAATGAAAGAGAATATTATTACAGATCCTATATATATTAAAAGGATAATGAGAGACTACCATGAACAGCTTTATGCCCACAAATTGAAACACTCAGTTGAAATGGACAAATTCATTGAAAAACACAAATTAGCAAAACTGATTCAAGAAGGAATAGAAAATGTAAATAGCTCTAAATCAACTAAATGCATTGAATTTATAATTTAAAACTTTCCCTACTATTATAGAGACAGAGTAGAAGGAATTCTGGGCATAAGGGAGGATATTTGGCTCTAGAATGAAGGTAAATTTTAGTTTTTTTTTTTTTTCCTAAACACCAGTGGACAGACTCAGCATTTTCTCTCACCTGTTGCCTTTTTGGTTCAGGACTCGTCTTTTTAAACCTGAATGCTAAATAAATGTTTGTTTAATAAATGAATATCTTTTTAAAAAATAAATAAAACCTTCCCTAAAGCAAACTTTGTACCCAGATAGTTTTTCTGGTGAATTTCTATCTAAAGAAGCAATGATACTAATCCTTCCCTAAATCAAAGGGAAGGGTCACTTCC